ACAAGCACATCTGCTTGGCAGTAAAAACAAGTTAATCAGAAATTATATAACCAAAAAATATATTGTGCCATTTCAGGATTCAAAAATGAAAATTGTCTGAGGCAGCTGCATCGCCATGGCTTGGAAGAGCAGCTTGAATCCACCAAGTGGTTTCAAGTACTCTGTGCCCAACTGTGAGAGAGTGTGTGTGTGGAACTCCCTGCCACTTGAGGTCAGATCACACACACACACAAACACGCCTGGTTGGACTTCTGGCACCTACTGAGTACTTTTTTTATTCCAGCAATGTTTTAACTGAATTCTGATTTTATAGCCTTTATTTTTATTGCGCTGAGTTACCTGCATACCAGGGGACATGGGTGGCACTGTGGGTTAAACCACAGAGCCTAGGACTTGCCAATCAGAAGGTCGGCAGTTCGAATCCCCACGATGGGGTGAGCTCCCATTGCTCGGTCTCTGCTCCTGCCAACCTAGCAGTTCAAAAGCACGTCAAAGTGTAAGATAAATAAGTACCGCTCCATCGGGAAGGAAAACGGCATTTCCATGTGCTGCTCTGGTTCGCCAGAAGCGGCTTAGTCATGCTGGCCACATGACCCGGAAGCTGTACGCCGGCTCCCTCAGCCAATAAAGCGAAATGAGCGCCGCAACCCCAGAGTTGTCCGCGACTGGACCTAATGGTCAAGGGTCCCTTTACCTTTACCTTACCTGCTTACTACCTAGAAAGCGTTGTAATTAAGTGGTATATAAATTGTCAAAATAATAAATAAAAAGGAAGTAGGAGAAAGAATGCACACCAGGAGCAGCGGTGCAGGAGGCTGGCCTGGGGACTGGTGGTGGCAGCTGCAACAGCATATTGCCAGGCCAGCCACTGCTTCTGGTCACTTTTCTCTGTCCAGCCCTGCTTCTCCTGCTGGACCAAGTCATCACCCTAATCAGCCAAGCAGCCCTAGCTGTACAACCAGCAGATCAAGAAGCTGGTCTGTTTCATTATTTATTGATGCTTTACTGAATGCTCTATTGATGGATTCTCTGTTTTCGTTTTCCATTCTTACAATGCTATGTATGGATTTCCCTTTTCTTTAGTACTGACCTTACTGGGTTTTATGCAAGCCACTTATGAATTTTGCATAGTAAGCAATTTATAAATATTATCAATAAATAATAACAGCTCAGCTTAGTTCATGTCACTTTGCAGCAAGAGGAAGGTGCGATCACAGCTCAGTTGCTGTCTGTTCACCTGACCACTCTGAGGAAGTTGAGCATGGAAGAGGAAGCGACCTATGTTTATACTGCCCAGGGCTGAAGAACCTATGACCCTCCAGATGTTTTGGACTAGAACTCTTTTGGCCCTGACCACTGGTCATGCTGGTTGCAATTGATAGTACTTGGAATCCAACATTCTGGAGGGACACAAGTTCCTCAGCCATGATCTTGCCCAATCCCACTTGGTGACTGCACAGCAAGTATAGGGAAGCTGTGGTCCTGTGGTCTCTTAGCCTAGCACCAAAAGGTGTATAATGAAGGAGACAGATGAACCTCCCTGGGGAGAGCATTCCTCAAATGGGGAGCCACCACAGAAAAGGCCCTTTCTCATGTTGTCACCCTGCAGACCTTTGATTGAAGACACACACAATTAAGGGCATTTGTATATTAATTTTAAAGCTTACAGTCATGTATTAATCTTATTTAGAAAATGTCTACATTTTTCTAGTGAGCTATGGCTGATTTAACTATTGCAGTGATAATTTGCAACAGCTGGGACTGCAGCAGGTTGTATCACATGATTTCCCTCCCCAAAGACTAAAAAGAAGATTTGCTCCTATAGACTAGAAAAGGAGACTGTTGTTGTTGTTTAGTCATTTAGTCATGTCTGACTCTTCGTGACCCCATGGACCAGAGCACGCCAGGCACTCCTGTCTTCCACTGCCTCCCGCAGTTTGATCAAACTCATATTCGTAGCTTCGAGAACACTGTCCAACCATCTCGTCCTCTGTCGTCCCCTTCTCCTTGTGTCCTCCATCTTTCCCAGCATCAGGGTCTTTTCCAGGGAGTCTTCTCTTCTCATGAGGTGGCCAAAGTAATGGAGCCTCAGCTTCAGGATCTGTCCTTCCAGTGAGCACTAAGGGCTGATTTCCTTCAGAATGGATAGGTTTGCTCTTCTTGCAGTCCATGGGACTCTCAAGAATCTCCTCCAGCACCATAATTCAAAAGCATAAAATCTTTGGCAATCAGCCTTCTTTATGGTCCAGCTCTCACTTCCATACATCACTACTGGGAAAACCATAGCTTTAACTATACGGGCCTTTGTCGCTCGAAGACTGCCAAAGTCCATGCTGCCACAAGGAATGCTTGTCTTCATACAAAAACTCCTGAATAGCGCGCCTAATGTTTCTGATGCTCTAAGGATCTTCCTCACACTTCCAGTGTCAGTGGCAAGTGGTGAACGCAATTTCTTAAATCTTATAAAAACTTGCATGCGCTGAATAATGTTGCAAAAGAGACTAGTTGGCTTGGCAACTATTATCGGCTGAACATGCCCAATCATCAGCACTTGACCCGAAGAAATGGGTGGCAAAATTTGCAGAGGAAAAGACACACAAAGTGAGATTTTGATGTGCCTGGAATTGAAACTTTTAAGAAGCTTAAATCTTAACATCACAAGATTATTCAAAATTATTTGTGTGCTAAAATATTTTCTTTCATATTTGAGAAAGATAATAAAAGGCTGTTGTATTACATATTCTTGCAATTTAAAATAAATTTAGAAGTTTCAGGCTTTGTGGTTTCCTTTCCCCCCCCATAAGACATCTGTTTTTGAAAATTGAAGTTAGCCATTTGGGGGGACAGGGTGAGACTAGTTAGGCTTGCCTGAGGCACAAATTAGCCTGGCACTGGCACCTCCTGCTAGGAAACTACAATTCTCACAACACTCTGTGGGGAGGAATGCGAAGGGCTGAGAGAGATTTCTCCCTTTCTCTCTAAAGACATCACTATAGAATGGAGCTATGAATGCTTCCTTCTGAGACATGACTATGTGATCTAATAATAAACCATTTTAGTGAGCAATAAAACATTGTTCCACACAACCACAGTGTGCACCTTCTCCGTAAGAAGGAATAAATGGCTACCTGTTGCATGCAGGGACATGTTTTACAAGGGGTTCCAGTTTGATAGGCCGATATTACACAGCACTACAAGGTTTTTCTTTACCTACACGATAAACATCGTAACAGCACGGCAACAGCAGGAAGTATAAAAGATACCTCTTGGGTATCTTTTACCAGTCACTGAACACCGCAAGCAGGAGGGATGCTATTGCACTCATGTCCCGATTACAGCGTTGCCATAGGTTGGCCACCATGGGAACAAAAATGCTGGACTAAATGGGTCTTCGGTCTGATCCAGCCAGGCTCTACTTATGTGCTTATGACATTTCATAAAATGTCAAAAGGTACGTGTATTAAATGTGTGCTTTCGAACACATAGGCTCACATAATATGCACCCTGTCCATTTTGTTACTTGATTTTTATTTAAGGTAGTTTGTTTGTTGTCTACTTTGCACTGATATTCCAAGTCTTGCAATAACCTAACTACCTTACCTCACATGTGCAAACTCGTCCACTTCAATCAGTAGAATTGGCACTACTGCAGGTGCCACATAATACCTGTTCTATGTCTGTAAGAATTCTGTTACAAAACACTACCAAATAACATGCCACTACTATGAGTAGGAGAAGAACCATGCTTTCCAAAATCTGAATTAAATAGTTTATTTCCTTAATATATTAAAAAAAGAGATCTCTTTAATTCATATGGAATTCATTATACATTATCTATGATTACTAAGACCCAGCACAAGTTTCTGAAAAACAAGTAATGCCAGATGATTCTCCCTCCCTCCCTCCCTCCCTCCCTCCCTTCCATTGGATATAGTTACAAGCTTGGTGGATCAGGGGGATTCTGTGGACATACTGTATCTTGATTTCAGTAAGGCTTTTGATAAAGTCCTCCATTATATTCCTGTGAGGAAGTTGGTAAAATGTGAGCTGGACAAGGTAATTGTTAGGTGGATTTGTAGCTGGTTGACTGACTGACCAAACCCAAACAATGCTCACTAATGGTTCCTTATCAACCCGGAATAACTTGCGTGAGGGAATTGAGAAGATTCTCATCAAATTAGCAGATGAAACCAAACTGGGAGGGGTAGCTAATGCCGCAGAAGACAGAATTGGGATTCAATATTACTTTAGCTGCAGATTGGAAAACTGGGCCCAGACTCACAAAATGAATTTCAATAGGGATAAATGCAAGGTTCTACACTTAGGCAGGAAGATCCAGCTGCACAAATACAAGATGGGGGACAGGTGGTTTGACAGTAGGACATGTGAAAAGGATCTAGGGGTCTTAATAGACTCAAAGTCTTAACATCTAGTGGGTCATCTAGTTCAACCGCCTGCAATGCAGGAATCTCAACTAAAGCAGCCATGACAGATAGCCACTGAAACTCTGCTTAAATACCTCCAAGGATGAAGAGCCCACAACTTCCCAAGGGAGTCCGTTTCACTATTAAACAGCTCTTGCCACCAGACAATTATTCCTGATGTTTAGTCAAGAATCTCCTTTCTTGTAAGTTGAAGCCATTGGTTTAGATCCTAGCCTCTGGAGCAGGAGACAACAAGGTTGCTTAAGATATTTTAAGATGGCCATCTCCTCTTTTAAGACTAAACATACCCAGCTCCTTCAAGCACTCCTCATAAGGCTTAGTTTCCGGACCCTTGATCATCTTGGTTGCCTTCCTCTGCACACGTTCCAGCTTGTCAACATCCTTCTTAAATTGTGGTGCCCAGAATTGGACACAGTATTCCAAGTGTGGCCTGACTAAGGCAGAATAGAGTGGGACTATAATTCCCTTCATCTGGCCACTCTACTTCTGTTGATGCAGCCTAGAATAGCATTAACTTTTTTTGCTGCTTCATCACACTGTTGACTCAGGTCAACAGCTCGGATAGTTTGGTTGGTAAAGCATGAGACTCTTAATCTCAGGGTTTGATCCCCATACTAAGCAAAAGATTCCTGCATTGCAGGGGGTTGGACTAGATGACCCTTGGGACCCCTTCCAACTCCACAGTTCTGTGATTCTATTATTCTACCCAACTCTTGCTATTATTATTATTATTATTAAGCAAATACAATTTTCACTCTGTGTGGGAGCCAAGGACATGTGACTAGACAGTTTAAGCATTCCCATGTCCCTGGAACAAAGGTTTCCAGTATATTGGGAGATGAAAGGATAACTCACACATTTCCCCCCAGCTGATGTGTGAAACTGTGAAAAGCCCTAACACATCCCACATCCCATTGCACTGTTAACAGACTGCCATCCCCAGCATTCCTGATGGCTGTCAGGGCAACATGCAATTCTCAGCAACTACCTGAAGATGGCAAGATAATACCACACTCCTAAATCCGTCAAATCATGGGGAAGGGGGAATTGGATGCACTTAGCAGATAGGAGTGGAATTATTTTATTTTATTTTGCAACCCACAAGATGCCAAAGCAAAACATTGTAATTACTGTTTTTATGACACTCTTCTTGCCTTTTTTTAATAAAAGAGAGAGAGAGAGAATAATTCTCTTTTTAAAAAGACCAACACTGTTATCAATGACGGCATGTGAAAACATATGCTGTATTACTGTACTGCAGTGGCTTTTTGAACCCGCATGCAAAGTGCGAAGACGAAATTGCACTGCATCCAACTGCACCAGGGAGTCATAGAGCCACACTCTGCCTGCAATAACTTATCCTAAGCCTTCTAGTGACATTTTATGTCTTTTTGCTGTAGTGCTATTACGCCTTTGATTACTCCATTTTTATGTTTGTCAGCACAGCATATGAGAGGGATAATTTGTATTCAACATATTAAACTGGTCATGTAAATTATTAAAGACCCAATTCATAAAGGCATTGCACACACCATATGCAGATTTCCCCTCCACCTCCTCTTCATTACAGAGCCTTGGTTTGGGCATTTCTGAACGCTGCATTTTCCAAGCTGAGGAGAGAGAAGTGCTCCGTTGGGCAGCTAATTTACACTTTATGCTGGCTTCCTAAGGATCTCTCCCCTTCCCACATCCTGCAAAGCATCGCAAAACAACTGGCGTTAGTTGGTGGGATCTACCTCTGCCTACTTCATCCTTAGCTGGGCAGGGGTACAAATTCCTGACATCAGCAGGACCAGCCCTACTGTTAGACAATGAAGCAGCTACCTCAGACAGCATGTTGTAGGAAGTAGGAATTGAATGCAAGGTGTTGGTGACAGAGCTATGTGTGCCTGTTCAGTCTGCCTGCATCCTCTAAGCCAGGAGTGAGCAGAAGCTCTCCTGGATCTACCTTGGGGTGATTTGCAGTTGATCAGCAATCATTTTGACTCCCAGTTATTTAACAGTAGCAACAACCATAGCCACATCTGCAGCTTACATTTAATGCAGTGTCAAAAAAATCCTGGGAACTGTAGTTTGTTTAGGGTGCTGAGAGTTGCATGCCCCTCCCTGAGCTAACATTCCCAGAGTGGCTTAACAATCCCTCTTCCCATGGAACTCTGGAAACTGACACTCTAACTGAGGAATGGGGTCTCCTAACAACTCTCAGTCCCTGTAACAAACCACATTTGTTGAAGTCAAATTCCTGCATTAGCAGCACTGAAGCGACCTCCACGGGGGCACAAGCCTGCCTGGGCAGTGTGTATGGAGGTCCTGGGCTGCCCAGATAACAACCCCCCACCCTCTGGATTTGTGTAGGGTTTACTCCTTAGCTTTTTTCTTCTTCCAAAGATATCCTGCGAGGCAGCGGAAGTTTAGGACCTGAACTTTCCTTTTCCTAGATGGGCAAGTCCCCTTTGCCCCTCACTTCGCTCTAAACCACATGCAGAATCTGCCCTCTTGACCATTGGACCTACTGTTGGGTCTTGTTCGCTTAATCTGTCGGAGCCTGTCTTTGCTTGCAGGGAAAGTCCTTAACTGACCAAGGGCTTAAGACCCATCGGCTACCCTCACCTGGTATAGCCAGCCAGTCAAAAGCCGTTCCCAGGGTGTGGCCACTGTCACATGCTGACAGCTTCTAGGAGTTTCTAGGTGAGAGCACCTTCACTTAGGGCTGGGCAGAACTGTAGCTGGGGGGGGGGGGAGCTAGACATGTTTTTTGCCCTAGGTGAAGTCTCCAAAGGTGCACCACTGAGGCCCTAACTGAAGGTGCCATAGATTAAACCTGAGACCTTCTGCATGCAAAACAGATGCATTCAGAAGCCATGGCCCTTTTCAGGGTGCACATGAAGCAATTCATAATCTAAGGCCTCTCCCTCCTCCCCACGCACCTTCCTCCCTAGAGACCTTCTCATCACTGTTGAAGGAGCTAAGCTGGTTCTTTTTTCATATCAGTACTCTGGTTTAATTAATTAGACGAAATAGAAGGCATGAATGCCAGAGTGAGACAGACGAAAGTGGCAAGCTCAAGCGAGAGTTGGTTGGCTGCCAGCAATGCACATGCACTTTGCTGAAAACAAAAGCCACCATCATGGAAATGTAGAGTTGGAAGGGACCACTCTGGTAGCACATCTAGCAGCTTCATTCGGAGCCCAGCACCACATGATTTTGTGCTCCCCTTACCCTCGAAACACACAGAGAGCACGGAAGAGACCTCTGTTGGGTTATTTTACACCAAGCTCGCAGCAGGCTAAGTAGCTGCTCCTTGCTGTAGGTCATGCTATTTCAGTGTGCGAGATAAGGGGTCACCTTTTTAAACAGCTCCAATATTTCACTCGCTGCAGTAGCTCACTTCAGTGTGCTCCGGCAACCCAAGTGCTCCTTAGAGCCTAATATCACAGGAACTGTGTGAAATGTCTTCAGAACACAGTGTGTGTGTGTCCCAGTCACTCAATACCAAATGTACCCAGCCACTCAACATACAATGGAAATGGGGACGCACAGCATGTGCATAGCTTTGATTCAGCACTAGATTGTTTCATCGATAAGATCATTTTTTAAAAAAGGAAAGAAAACACTTGACACTTTGCACTGAGTGTCAGTCTTGGCACTTAATACTATTAAGAGGTCCATAGAAAGTGGTGGGTCATTTTGAAACCACAGGAGCAAGAGAATGTTTTGCACTTGCTTTAGATAAGATTTGGGCACTCAGAATGTCCCTCTTCCAATATGTGCTGAATAAAAGAGCTACAGAAACGTAACAGATTTAAGAGGACTGAACCCCATTCACCTGAGGCTACAGTCCTACGGACACCTCTTCCTTGGGAGGAGTGAACAGCCATCAGATACTACTAAGAAAGATGGTATAAGGCCTGGTATAACCAGGCCGGCTCTGGCTCCAGCCTGGTGGAACGCTCTGCCTCACGAGACCAGGGCCCTGCAGGATCTGATTTCTTTCCGCAGGGCCTGTAAGACAGAGTTGTTCCACCTGGTCTTTGGCTTGGAATCAACTTGATCCCCTTCTCCTCTATCCTTTCTCCTTTCTCCTTCTGTGATGGAACTCCTATTTGGGGACTTCCTTGGCTTTTTTTCTGGCCCACATAGGACCAGTCTGGATAGTTGGCCTTGGTGAAGATTTGACGTTTTCATCCCCAAAAAGTTTTTGATTTGAGTTTCTCCTGAAATGAGGCTGCATTTTAATGTTGTATTACAATCTTGTTTTTAAGTTGTATTTTAATCAATTGTTTTATACTTGGTGTTAGCTACCCTGAGCCCGGTCTTGGCTGGGAAGGGAAGGGTATAAAATAATAATAATAATAATAATCATCATCATCTTTTATGTATTTATTGCATTTGTATCGCACCTTTCCTCTAAAGAGCTTGTTGTCATATACACAATTCATTATATGCACACAGACCCCCGTAGCCTCCACAACAACCCTGCTGAAATGGGGGGGGGACGGGACAGACCTTCGTTTTAGAAAGGGGTTTCAGTGCAGATCACTTGTGATCAGGAAGTGATTTTGCACTGAAACCTCTGCCCCCGTCCATTTTAGCAAGGTGCTTTGAAGTCCCAGCTTTAGGAATTCAAAGTGCCAAGTTTCTGTTTGATAAAACACAATAAACCAGGTTTCTGGGACCTTCAAAGCACATTTAAAGCTCATTCTTTCTCTCAAAGGATTCTGGGAACTGCAGTTTGCCCTTCATGGAGTTACAGCTTTCAGCAACCCTTAACAAATTACAATGTCCAGAATTCTTTAAGGTGGTAAATGTGCTTTTAAATGTATATAGCATGTGCAGCCTGACTGTCCTTTCCATAAGATTTTTTGGTCTAGTATAACTTCAGGCCATCCACCACAGCCTGCACTGTCGGCCAGAACCTCCCCCCTCAGTTGTTGTTGTTGTTGTTGTTGTTGTTGTTTTGGAACATTGGCAGACGGATAAGGATGGCTGCTAGGCAACACAGTCAGTCATATACACAGAGCGGCAGCCAAAGATAATGGCTGACGAATTCACACTTAAGAAGAAGAAAATACTAATTTCCTCCAGTTCTGCTCCTTCTAATCCTTTGGAGTAGATGCTGGAAACTGTAGTTCTGCGAGAGGAAGAGGTGCCTCCTAACAACTCTCAGCGCCCGTAACAAACTAGGATTCCCAGGATTGTTCCAAGAAACCACAACTGTTTCTAGTGGTTTAACGCAATTCTGCTTTAAATGTACACTTTGCATGTGACGTTTCAGAGGTCACCCTGCTTCATAGCTGTCAACTTACAGATTTGAAAGTAAGGGACCAGCAGCCTCAAAAATAAGGGGTCAGCAGCCAAAATAAGGGATTTTGCTTACCCAGCTCCTCGCGATGTGCCCCTGAGGGGGAAAAGGGAGAGACGGAGATGCGGCAGCTCATGCGCGCTCTCTCTCGCGCGGCGGAGGACCCCGAGCCGCTGCTTCCCTCCCGAGCCGGGCGAGCATGAAACCCGGGGAAATTAAGGGACATCATCAATAAGGGACAGCAGCGGGACACGGAGCTGGGATAAGAGAGTTTCTCGCCAAATAAGGGATGGTTGACAGCTATGCCCTGCTTGCTCTG